ACTTGGAGCCCTTCCTGTGGATCTTTTGATGGTGTTTCTAAAATTCAGTAAAAACTGGTTCAATCGTAGATTTAGATCGTCTTCTTTATTACTAGCATTTATTCGTTCTTTAAAGGTCTTAACTGCCCGTTCGGCGATATCATTCGATTTTGGATGGTACGGGGTAACCTTTATGTGCTTAATCCCGTTGGCTTGACAAAAATGTTCGAATTCGTTAGATGTTAGTTGTGGTCCATTGTCGGAAACAATAAATTTCGGTATTCCCAGTCTTGCAAACATATCACGTAGTACTTCGATAGTTTTCTGAGAAGTTGTGTTCTTCATTGGTATTACTTCCAACCATCGTGTATATGCATCTATAGCGATTAAAAACATTCTGTTTTCAAACGGTCCTGCGAAATCAATGTGTACCCTGGCCCAAGGTTCAGGTGGTGCGTACCAAGGATACAACGGTACTTCTGTTGTGTTTTGTTTAGACTCTTGGCATGATGTACAAGTTTGTACAAAATTGATGATGTCCAAATTTATATTTGGCCAAAATATGTGTAATTTTGCCATTGACTCCATAGCTGACATTCCAGGGTGTCCATCATGTAACATTTCCAAAGCTTGGTTCTGTAATGCCTTAGGAATACATAATCGTCCTTCCATAGAAGGATGTTCTCTTCCACTGATAGTTCCTCCCTTTTTATAATAATTTAACAAGTCTTGTGGTAAATTTCGTTTATCTGGCCAATATGTTTGTGTGTACTTCATACTTCATAACTTCGTTTAATGTTTGATCTGCTTCTGTTTTGTCTCTCAATGTTCTTTTTGTTATTGGTAGGTGTTGTAATCTTAGGTTAAGTAAATGTCCTCGATTCGGTAGTCCAATCTCTTCGTTGTCTGATCTTTCGCTGTTGACTAATGGTAGTCTTGATAAAGCATCTGCTGGAGCGTTTTCTTTTCCAGGTTGATATTCGATTGTAAAATCGTAGTTATTCAATATCATGGCCCACCTTAGGAGTCTGTTACTTGATATTTTTGGTGTGTTTCTGTTTTCACCGAAAATTCGTTCTAAAGGCTTATGGTCAGTCAATAAAGTAAAATGTCTGCCATAAAGATATTGGTGAAATTTGGTCACGCTGTATATTATGACCAAAGCTTCCTTATCAATTGTTGCATATCGTGTTTCTACTTCTTTTAATGTTTTTGAAATATATGCTATAGGTCTTAAATTTCCATTCATTTTGTGAAAAAGTACTGCACCCAGTCCTCTCTCTGATGCATCCGTTGTTAAAATTAATTGTTTTGTGGGGTCATAATGCACTAATGTGTCGTTGGAAGATAGTTGTTGCTTTAACGCATTGAAAATGTCTGTATCTTGTTTTGTCCAAACCCATTTGACTTCTTTTTTTAGTAGCCTGTGTAGTGGAGAGCATATTACTTGTAGATTTGGTATGAATTTACTGTAATATGTGATAGATCCTAAAAATGACCTTAGCTCTGATACATTTGTTGGCGTTGGCATTTCTCTTATCGCTTTGATGTGTTCGTTTGTTGGGTGTAACCCTTCTTTATCAATTTGGTGCCCCAAAAATGTTACATTGTTTTGTAGCCAGGCACATTTTGTTGGATGTGTTCTTATACCTGCATCCAATAATCGTTGAAGAACTTGTTCAACTCGTTTCAGATGAGTTTGTTTATCAGGCGCTGTTATAAGTATATCATCAAAGTAGCAAATAGTTCCATCTATTCCTGATAATATCGTGTCCATAGTTCGTTGAAAATATGATGGGGCAAAAGATATACCAAAAGGTAACCTTTTATATGCAAAATATCCTTTGTGCGTTGATATTATCAAATACTTTCTTGACTCTGGGTGTACTGCTAACTGTAGATATGCATCCCTTAAATCTATTTAAGTGAATTGTTGTCCACCTGTTAGTTTTGACATAATATCTTAATAATAATAATAATAATAATAATAATAATAATAATAATAATCTCTATTAGTGCTAATACAATACAAATTGTTTACAACGTCAAAAAAAAAAGAAAAAGTAGAAAGACAAAACTAATCACAAATACATTAAAAAGTACAAACTTACATAATATAGGTAAATATATAATTAAAACATTAAAATTGGTACTCAAAATACTCGTTTACAGAATAAAACCCGTTTTTTACAAATAAAGATTTTAGATATAACTTAAATTCCTTAAAAGCCATATTTTTTATGTTGATTGAAAGTTTGTTGTAAAATTTTATTCCGTTAAAATCTGGTCCACTTTGGCATTTATTGAGCCTGGAAAATTTATTCATAAGCTGATTTTTATTCCTTGTATTGTAGTCATGAAAACTATCATGGCTATGGTACAAATTCAAATTATTTTTAACATAAAGTAAATTTTGAAAAATATATAAGGAGGGTAGTGTTAGAATTCCAAGATTACTAAACATAGCCCTACAGTCGTCCCTGTAACCAAGAGAGGCGATGATCCTTATTACCTTGCGTTGAAGACCGAATATTTTATAACATTTCGCAGAGTGACCCCACACAATTAGAGCGTAAGATATATGTGACTCAAATAGCGAATAATATGCACTTAACAGTACATCACTAGAGACATTACCAACTAAGTTACGCATGACAAATATACTGGTGCTCAATTTTTTGGATAACGCATCAACATGGCAATTCTATCTTAATTTGTTGTCTAATAAGATTCCTAGAAATTTAACTGGTTTTAGTGGGTATCCATCATTTATAGGTCTTAAAGAAAAAATGAGATTTTGTGTTTTTTCTTTGTTTAAAACAAATCTGTTACTGGTAAACCATAGCTCAGCCTCTGACAGTGCACGCTCGCTCTCTTCAATTAGTAGTTCAATATATGAGTGTTTCAATATTATTGTGGTATCATCAGCAAAAAGTGTAAAACCCACCGCGCCATTATTGCAGCACAAGTCATTAATGAAAATTAAAAACAGGATTGGGCCAAGAATAGAACCCTGGGGAACCCCAACTCGTAACTCCATCCTCTGACTCACCCTGCCTTCAACCCTGCACACCTGATATCTATTTGCTAAGTATGACCCAATGAGTTTTACACTATTCGCTGAGAAATTGTAGGCCTCTAATTTCTTCAGAAGTAAAGAGTGAGAGACACAGTCAAAGGCCTTACTAAGGTCGCAGAAAACTGCATTTGCAAACTCCAAATTTTCAAATGACTCATTTATGGATTTTACCATCTGTAAGATAGCAGTTGTAGTGTTTCTACCCTTCCTAAAACCATATTGATAATCACAAAAGATGTCGTTATCCTCAAAAAAAGCAACAATCCTATTTGCCATACATTTCTCAATAATTTTTGAAAAAATTGGCAATATTGATATTGGTCTGTAGTTACTGGGGTCTTCAGCATCACCTTTCTTGTAAACAGGAACGACAAGGGCCTCTTTCAGAACACCCGGAAACTCTGCAGATAAAAAGCACATATTTATTAATTTAGCTAAGGGAGCAGATATTAAGTATTTTACATTTTTTATTAAATTTATATTTAAACCATAGACATCACAGCTATTTTTTGATTTAATATTGGAAATTATTTCCAGAACCTCAATATAAGTGACTTCCTTAAGATTAAACTGGTATTTTGGTGTTTTAATTTTGTCCAGGTTAACTGTGGAACTAACTACACTTAAATTTTTTAAAATATTATTAGCTATATTAACGAAATAAGAATTCATGATATTGCCTGAAATTTTACAATTTACTTGAGCTCCTCCCTTTTTTTGTTAATAATTTCCCACATACTTTTTATTGGATTTTTTGATTTTTTAATCTTTTTGTCATTAAAATCTTTTTTGACATTTAATATTGCTTTTTTATATTTAATTCTAAAATCCTGTTTTTGTTTGAGTATTTCTGAGTTTTTAGTTTGCCTTGATAGTTCACTTAAAAAATCTAAGGTATTTCTCATGTTCTTGAGTTCATTATTAAACCAGCCAAAACCTGTCCCACTATTCGAACTGTAGATACATGTTTTTTCCGGAAAGCATTTTAAAAATGCTCTTTTAAAAATAGATACAAAAACATCAAACTTATAATTCAGGTCTAAACTTGTATTGATAAAATCAAAGGACGTTTGTCCTATAATATTGAAAAAATTATATTTTCCCCATTCAGTTATGGGTCTAAACTTATTAAGAATTGGTTTACTTTTAGATTGTTTTATAAGTTTATTAAATGTAACTATCTGGGCATTATGATCCGAAAAATTTATATTTATCGTATCAGTTGTACAATCACAGTTAAAATTTACAAACACATTATCTATACAATTTAAATTTCGACTAGGTAAATAAAACAGTTGTTTAAATCCAAACGAGGAAAATAGATCCAGCAATAAACAGGTATTATTACAAACATTACTAAAATTTACATTAAAATCTCCAGTTATGACAGTTTTTGTAGACACACCTACGTAATTTAAAATGTTTTCTAAGACATACAAAAATAATACAAAATTACCAGTTGGGGGTCTATATATATTTATAATTACTAAATTAATACCTGCAACCCTAATGGCACTAATTTCTATATCTCTTTGTACTGATAAAGATATTACATTGTTTAGTTCAAAATGATACTTTTCTGATTTTATTAGAATAACTGATCCACCTCCTCTGGAGTTAGAACGAGCGTAGAATGAAGCACACGTATAACCTTCCACAACAAGAGCACTTATTTCACTAGGAGAAAGCCAGTGTTCACAAAGACATATGCATGATATTTTTTGTTATTCACCAGTAGTTCTAATTCATCAACTTTATTTTTTACCGATTGAATATTTAAATTTATAATGCTAAAAGATATCAAGTCTTCGCTTAGTGTATTTTCTTTGTGGTTTGTTTGGGTTTTAGTTTTGTAAGATGTAGTATCCTTATAAAAAATGTTTAATTCTTTTTTGCTTCTGTTGGATTTAAAAAATTTGCTGTCAAGAGACAGCAAATTTTTTTAGAAGACTACAGAATTATTCTTGTGAGCCCAGAAATTAAATCTTCTAATGGTGATGTTGGATGGCCAAAAACTAGCTTGATTTAGCTCCTCATGATATTTGTAGCCTATTCCTACCTTGAATGCTTTTGCTTTTCCCAATGTTGGTAATTTGCTGACTGCTATATCAGTTTCTGCAGCTGAACTACACCTTTTTTTAATATAGTTTATAATATCAGTCTCTTCTACACCTTCAGATACACGTCCTATGTAGAGCCACATTTTTGATCGACATGCTTTAAACTTTTCAGTTTCCTCATGTTCTGCAGTTCCTTTAGTTGTGTTTGATTTAGTTTTTTTCTTATATGTGACCTTTTTGAAACCATCACTTTCAATATTTTCTTTATTTATGTTAGATATTACTTTTTCAATTTAATTTTTTAGTTGTGTTGCTGTTATTTTGTTAGGTCCTGTTTTATTTGACATTAATTTTTCTTTATAATTTATGCTTTTATTTTGATTTTGCACATTTGTTTTTGTTTTTTCATTTGCTGCTATTGTTTCTTGCTTCTCTGGTTTACTTGTTATTATAGTTGTTTTTTGTACGTTTTTTTCACTGCTAGCTAATTCCGATTCGAGTTTTAAAATTTTTTGCTCCAAAAGAGATTTATTTTCGTATAGTAATTTATTTTTATCTTGCAATTCTGTTACTAATAGTTTTAAATACCTATTTTCCATTAAGATGGATCCCTTTTCGCTTTCTGTAAGGTTTATATCAGCTTTCTTATTTCCAACTTCTTTACTATCCATAGTTTTATCATCACACTCAAAACAAAGCCATTTATTACCACCATCCTTTTTTTCTTCTTTAAAGAAATACTTTACTTCTTCACTAGAGAGGTTTGCACAATCTTTATGAAACCAATTTTCACATTTATAACACTTAATACTATAAGTATTAGCCTTTATAGTTTTAGCACATTTAAGACCCGTTACTTGACCTGACGCCATCTTCAAATCGGGGTAGTGGATATTCATCTGTTTGTACATGAGGATCTATTGTGACACGAAAATCTCCACAAATCCTCACACTTCCGTTTGATTTTACAGCAATCACTACAGGTGTTGCCCATTCTATGTTTGTGTTTGTATCTAACGGTTCTAAAACACCTTCTGTTATTAATCTGTTAATTTCAGCATTTACCTGGCTTTGTAATGCAATCGGAACTGGTCTAGGCCTGAATGTTTTTGGTGTTGCTGTTGGATCCATGTAAATTTGTACGCTGTGTCCACGGATTTCTCCCAAAGTTCCATTAAACAGGTCCTTAAATTTGTTTAGTATGCTCTTAATATCCTCATGTTGCTCCACTGTGTTTTGTTGTTCGGTTTGATCTGTAGTCACTTGACATATTTTTGAACCTGGTGGCATTTCCAGATTAAACTCAATGCACCAATCCAATCCAAATAACGGTACGTCATTCTGTTCAACCACATATATTGTTAAGTGTTTGTTTTTTTTAAACGCGTTTACCTCGACTTTAGCTGTTCCCAGTGTTTTTATTTCAATATCTGTATAAGCTATTAAGTTTCGCGCTGTTTGCAGTGTTGGTTCTCCAATAGTTTTCCATAACTTTTTACCGATTACTGAATATGCTGCACCTGGGTCATAAAGCATTTCGACGTTCACCTTGTTTAGTCTTACAGGAAGTAAAACTCTTTTTGCTGCTGAAATGTGCCTAATGTTTGATGAGTTTGACGAGTCCAAACTATCTGTACTGCTACCCTCACGGTCATCACTGGTTATGCATCGTGTATTGTTTTTATTTATGTTAGAACGTCGCGACGCGATACACACCTTCGCGAAGTGGTTTATTCGGCCGCACGCACTACACTTTTTGTCTTTTGCTGGACAGTCATCCCTACGACGGTGTCGATCGTTTCCACAGAATAAGCAAGATTTACTGTTGTTCGCACTGTTTATATTGTTTGGTTTTGTTTCACTTTGTTTGTATTGTTTATTGTTTTTGTTATATGCCGGTTTTTGTTGCACTCGGTTTGTGTTTGGTTGATTTGAGTTTGTGCCAGTGCCTAAGGCTAATAAATTTAGTCGTTTTGACTGTACTTCGGCTTGTTCTAGTTTTAAAGCAGTTGCCTCTACATCTATTAATGTTGCATCGTTTGTTTTGTGTTGACGGATGATCTCCTGTTGCCACAAATTATTGTTTAACCCAATGACAAATTGGTCACGAAGTCTTTCCTGGAGTGTGTCTTTGAAGTCACACTTGCCTGCTAGTGCTCTCAAAACGGATAAATACTGTGTTATTGTTTCATGTTGTGCACGCATCCTTAATGTGAATTGCATACGATCAGCCAAAACGTATGACTGTTTACCATAATACCCAGTTAGCACTTCGACAATGTCCTTGTAAGGTTTTGTTATTATGTTGACGGGCTTGAAGTGATCAACTAGAATTTTAAAAGAATCTGGTCCCACCTTGCTTAGTAGTAAATTTCTCTTATCGTCTTCTGATATTGAACCTTGTAAAGCCACCTCAATGTCGAATCTTTGGATATAATAGTCCCATTCCTCCTTTTCAGGGTAAAATTTTTCAAAGGTGAAATGTTTCACTTGGTTGTTTGTTGTTTGAGCTCCTACCTCAGCGTTAGGCATGTTGTTTAGAGTTAATGTTCACCCACTTTTTCTGTTATTCTGTTTGTTTGTTTGTTTGTTAAACTCCCTTCTTCTGTTCTCACGTTGTTCTCGTCGCCAAAATGTTGTATGATAGTTAATGAGGTTACGTGGGTTTTCGTGAGAACGGGAGTGTGATTGAAAAACAGCAGGTTGTTGTAAAACTCACTATATTTAAACTTTAAAAGTATATAAAAACGTTATTGCAAAATGGTCACATTTTTTAAGCAGTCGCCAACCTATTGGCTACCGAGCAGCTTACGCCGCGTTGCCACGTTCAATTCTTCCCGGGTCTAATGCGATGTTGCCATACCACATTGGGTATACCAACATCTGAGTTATTAGACATGATGGGACCCACACCAAACTTATATGAGTTTATAATGACATTAAATGGACAGGTTCTACCTAAGCAGAATTTAAATTGAAAAAGTTAGTTTTGCACCCCCTATTTAAGATTATTCAAATTAAAGAGGTGAAATTTATAATTTACTATTGTGTCAAAATTTATTTTGAAAATCCAAGATGTTTTTCCATTGTATTCTTTTTTGTGTCTTTTTAATTGTGTTATTATTAAATTTGTTTTCGTGGCCTATTTGTAGTATTGTGTTTAGTTCTTTTTGGTATTCGTTTTCTGTTAGAGGTGTAAGGTCTAAAAATGTTATTTTCTTTTCACAGGAACAGAAGAAGAATTAACTAAGTTTCACAAATACATCAATAATCAACACATCAAGCTTAAATTCACAATATAAATAGAAAGTGAAAAGAAAATAACATTTTTAGACCTTACAATACACCGCAGTGAAACAGCCTACAACTTCAACATCTACAGAAAACCTACAACAACAAGCGCTATTATACCGAGTGACTCGTTCCATTGCAACCAACAAAAACACTCCGCTTTCCACAGCTTCTTACACAGACTTAACAACACAGAAAACGAATACCAAAAAGAACTAAACACAATACTACAAATAGGCCACGAAAACAAATTTAATAATAACACAATTAAAAAGACACAAAAAAGAATACAATGGAAAAACACTTTAAAACTTATAAACATGTACAACGAAGAAAAGAAAGAATATCAATATAGAAAAATAACCTTTTAAGGACCAATCACAGAAACAATAAACAAAATTTTTAAAAGAATACAACTTAAAAGCAGCCATAAAAACAAACAACAATATATATATAATAACCTTAATAACGCAAAACAACAAATAAACATATTTGAAAAAAGTGGAGTTTATAAATTAACTTGCAATGATTGCGAAGCCACATATATAGGTGAAACAGGCAGAAATTTTAAGACAAGAATTAAAGAACACACAAATAACAATAATCACAAATCAAATTTCGGAAATCATTTAACAGATACAGGACACTCCTTTAACATGGAAACAAACACAAAAATACTACACATACAGGAAAAAGACCACAAATTAACCCTGTCAGAAGCCTACGAAATTAATAAACAAATAAAAAACAAAAAAGAACAATGCCTTAATGAACAAGTAAATTTATTATATACACCAATCTACAAACATCTAGTCAACTAACCAAAAACAACAACAACCTAACCTCATTTTATATTTATATTTTCAATTAGTTCTAATTTTATAGAAAAATAGAAGTTTTAATGTATCAATTGTTTAACTCGAGTTTAGTCTCATTGATTATTTATTGTATCGACAACCTAGTGATAGTTTATTTATGTAATAATAGTATATTTTAATATTTTGACGTGTATCTAATATCTATTTATGTACCTCTTGTAGAAACCCTGAAGATGCCGTAAGGCGAAACCGGTCGGTTTTTAAAATAAAATATTACAGCAGGGAAGTTCAATTTTAATCCAAACAGATTTATTTACAAAACTAACCACTAAACCATACGGGATATATTGTACGTATATTAAACAAAACTTATTATTATTCCGAGCGCGTCATTATCTTTGAAACGCTTACATTTATCGAAAAAACAAAAGAAAACTTTTTCAATACTTTTTCAACTTTGACCTAAGATATCTTTTGATAGATATCATCGATATCTTTTGAAATTTATCATCAATATTAGACTAATGTGAAATTGGAATAAAAGTGGGTAAACAAAATTAAAAAATAAAATAAAACATTTAAACATTTAAAAGTAACTAGGTATTAAACATTTATTATGGATATTTAATATGCCCTGACCACATGTGGTCAGGGCCAACTTATCCGGAGTTGGAATTTTTTAAGATTTATATAATATATTCCAGTATTTTTAATAGATGGAAAAGAATCTTTGCTGATTTTGAAAATAAAATTGGCATTTTCCGAAATTCTCATTTTTCTGTGAATTCAGTAGTCGGCATTTTTAAAAGATTTATTAGCCGCCGTCTAATGCCACCAGGTGGCATTGCCTCCAGGTGGCATTGCCACCTGTGTCTGCTGCTTATTGGATTATTCGGCAAATTTGCGGTCTTTCTGACAGAAAATCGGAAATGAGACTGAAAGACCACTGATATTCCAGAAACTTGTTTTTTTCTTATTTAATTTTTTAGTCACATACTCACAATATTTTGATGCTTCTAAAGTAAATTTTGATATATCAGTAATATTTTTCAGGTTCAATTCTTTTTTATGAATATAACCAGTAATGGGTCAAGAGAAATGTTCTTGAAGAAACTAAGAAAATTGAATGTTTAAATATCTTTTTAGTCAGAAAAGTAAATAATGCAGACCTAAAGAGAAATTCAAATCGTTGTAAAATTTCGATATTCGTTCGTGAACTTTGTAAATTTTGACTAGTTAATTTTCATTTTTAACTGACTTACTAGAGACCTACTAGATTTTTATTTTAAAATAACACAAGCACTGCTGTGTAATAAAGTAAAGAGATACTAATACTAATTAATTTTACAATCTTGGGATGAGCTAAATTTTAATTGTTATTTATATTGAGTGGGTGACCCATAAAAATCAACACGTCTCGAGGTCGGGCCGATCACGGTTCTGTCGCGGCCGACATCCGGTAAGAATTCTCGGGCCGACATTTTCCCGATCGTCGAAATGTAATGTTTATTTGAGTCGGTCCGACATATTTTTCAAATATTGGACCGAGCGTAGTAGTATAATCTCGGGCCGAGATAGGTTAAGGATGTCGGGCCGAGGCTGGTTATCGATGTTGGGCCGAGGTCTTACCCGCGTGAAATCGTTGCAGGATAAGGCCGTCTCCACACATAGGGCCAACGTTGGCGCCAACATCGTTCGTCCAATGTGTGGATGGATATTATGGTGTTGGAGCAAACGTTGGAAGTCATTTGCGACGAATAATTTCCAACGTTTTTGGAGGCAACCATAATCTCCATCCACACATTGGACGAACGATGTTGGCGCCAACGTTGGCCCTATGTGTGGAGGCGTCGTAATAAAAATTTCGTTGAAACGGTTAAAAAATGTATTGCACAAAACGTTATAATTATACATGTTAAACTAATTCTAATAATACATGTTAAATAATAGGAAACGTCAAATAATAAAAAAAACTCCAATTGGAGATGCCTTTAATTAAACTTAAGTTGCCTTAATACTTGGTAATACTTAAGTATTACTTAAAGGCAACTTTTTGTTGCCATTACAAACTCAAATTGGAGTTTTTTTTTATTTTTTAGCTTACCCTAATTAGGGCATTATAGCATAGTAAATTATTTAAATAAGGATTAAGAATTATCACATCACTTAACAGCATGATTCATTGTCTTGTTTTAGAGATGAATTATGAAGCATTTTGTGAAAAAAAGGTAAAACAAAAGAATAATAGAAACAAAGGACTAGATTGGAAATCATTTAAAAAGTAGAATTTCTAATGTGACTGATCAGTAACACATAAACAAAAAAAACTGAATTAAAACATAATCCTATAGGAACAAAAAGTAATAAACTAATACTGTCTGTCCACGATAAGTTGGCAGACCGAAGGAATTAAGTTATTTAGTTATTAAACAATTGTCGTGTTGTGTGCTTTTAAAACGTATTTTTTACATTATAAATAATAATATTATTTATATAATTTTTATATATAGTACATAATAATTAGGGATGGGATATTTAGGTACTAAAAACTGAAAAATAGGTAACTAAAAAGGTACTAAAAAAAAGCATTTTAGGTTAAAAAAACAGCATTTTAGGTAAAAAAAATCATTAAAAGTTTAAGTTTCGTTTATAATTTTGTTTAGCCGCATACCCAAACACAGAGCATACCCACAATAAACTATTTCTATGCAATAAACTGTGTTTTACTGAGTGACTACAAAGAAGGTAACTGTAAAGAAAGTTACTGTTACAGTCTGTAACCATAAGAAAAAATTCTATACCGTTAAGTTGCACACTGTTCAAAATTTCATGACCAATTTAACACCAAATTAACACCATACGTGGTCTATATCGATACAAACCAAAATGGTGTTAAATAAGGTTCGTTGGTCCGGTGTCAATTCAAATACTAAAATGGTGTTAAATAAGGTTCGTTGGCGGTGTAAATTCAAATACTAAAATGGTGTTAATTTAACTTTCACACAGTATTAAAATAAATTTTACCTGGTGTAAATTGAACTCCTCTTCAGTCTTAAATATTATGTGTTTGTGGTCAAATTATCATACTACACAGAAGAAAGGAAAAGGAAACAGGAAGTTCCTTGACGCATTACTAGTATATTACCAGTGGTATTATTCCAGAAAATGAAACCTTCAACTGGCTAGAGATAATGTTTTTAGTGCGTTCCACTAACTTAAAATACTTCAAGTATTGACAGCTGTTTCCACCTATTTAAGGTATCGAACAACTTGTAGTGTCACACCAAAGCAAAGGATTACCTAAGTTTATATATTCTTCATGTAAGTCAACAGAGGCGAGATTTAAGAACATCACGTGATCCACAAAAATATAACTACTTATGGGTCAACTGGGTTAAATGAACTATTCCTTTTTTTCTGGGTAGGTGCACTTCTCAAATATTTTTAGATAAACACCGTTTTGGTGTTCATTTTCAACCCTAATTCATGGTGTTATATTAACACCACTTGGTGTTGGATTTTGACACCATTTTAGGATTACTTTTTACACCGCAGATATTTTAAACAGTGCACGCCCTGGATAAAATATTGGCGCAAATTTTAAAAAGAACAAAAAAAATAAAATAAGTAAAAATACGTAAAAATAGGTAACAAATATGTGAAAATAAACTGACAAATTAAAAAATATGTAACAAAAGTATAAAATGGTAGTTTAAAGCAAAAACCTCCAAACAAGGTAAAAAAGGTGAAAAAAAGTTAAAAAAATAGGTAACAAAAGTATAAAAAAGGTAGTTAAAAGCAAAAACCTCCAAAAAAGGTAAAAAAGGTGAAAACAAGTTAGGTTCATATAAAAGAAAATCTTTTAAAACACATTTTGACATTATTGGTTTTCAAATAGTTACATCGGTTAAAAAAAGGTAAAATAACTAAAATCCCATCCCTAATAATAATAAAATACATAACTGAGTAGGTATGTTTTTTAATAATATTAAAAAACATACCACTCAGTTATGTTTTTTTATTATTATTTATATATACAAATTATAGAATATTATATAATATAAAAAATACGTTTTAAAATCACACAACACGACAATAATTGTTTAATAACTCAATCACTAAATTCCTAAACTACAGGAACATTCCTTTGCTCCGCCAACTTATAATGGACAGACTGTATATGGATAAATTGGTTATTTGTCCATGGCTTCCAAATGTTCGTCGTTTTCTAGGTCTCCTACGACTTTATCATCATTTGGTCGTTTTTTATTCTTTAATGATTGCCGATTCGAACGTCCGTCACCCCAGTCGGTTGATCTGGTCAAAGTATACCCAAGATGTTGTGTATAGTTATCTACTGGTTTTCCATCTTTGTTTTTAAATTTCTTATTGATTATATCTAAAAAATACTTATTATATTTTGAACCAAATACAAATCAAGCAATAAAATTTAAAATAGATTCAATTTTATTAACCTTCAATTATGGGACTTAGCGTATCAATAAATTTCCTTTTACCTCCACTTCCCTGAACTGCGGTTAATTTTCGCGCAACTTCGCGAGAGATGGAAGCTTTTACACTGCTGTCCCTTTGCGCGCATTTTGAGCCTGTGCTACTGCATTAAGGACTATATAATTCTGAAAAATAAAAAAAATATTAGGCAAATTTAGCTGTTAAATAATTAATAGTTACCACGTCAGCTCGTAATTTTTCATCATTTTTTAGTTTACTTTCAAAAGCATCAAAACTTTCCAAATCTTCAATTGGAAGTTTTATACCATATGAAGGACTTAATTTTCTTCTCGTATCAAATACATTTGGCTTTTCAAGATCTCTAATGATTGAATTATTTTTTAATGTTTTTAGTTCAGCCTTCATTTCTCCAACTTCTTTATTTAAAACTATTAAAACTGCTTTGCTCTCAATACTTTGGATATAAATGGATTTCAATTTTTCTGTGAATATAAAAATGCAATGTAAGATAACTTGATATTTACAAAGCCATGTGTGATATACAATATATACCTGAATCAGATAACCGTCTAAAAGCATTCATAAGTTGGATTTTTGTCTCTTCATTATGTCCAGTTTTTCTTTGTAGTTTTTTGACTTCTTGGTATTCTTTTTTTTCAAATGGCACATTGGAGGTGGAGGAGGCAGCAACTGTATTTTTTTTCAAGATATGTGCATAGTTAATATTTTTTTCAGAGTTTGTTTTTTCCTCAACCTTACTGGTACCTGTCAAATTGGATTTTCCGTTCTTTGTCAAAGTATCGGCATTTTCTTCTCTAATCAGTTTTTCACAAAACTTATGAATTTCCTCATTCACCACAGGAGATGGTTCAATATCACTGTCTCCTGAAAATTAAAGAACTGAATTGCAGAGATCAATGTAAATAATCATGTAGTGTACCTAAATTGTGTTTTGTTGTCCATTATATGCATTTCTTGCTCGTTATTTTGGACGTCTTCCTCACTTGTTGCGCGTGCATACAAATTTCTGTCATAAGAGTTTAAATAGATTAAAGCATCTATGTAAGTGTCTATAAATTAAAGAAATATTGGATTATAATATACTGTAGTTTCTTAACAAAATGGTACACATTATTAAAACTAAACCAGCGCAACTTCTTTTTTAATGACTTACCAAAGTCTCCAAGAATATTAACATTGTATGCTGGCCAATCATCTACATCGAGGAGTTGATTTATTTTATGGTGAATCTCCATCGACAATTCTAAAGAATAAGGTGGCACAGGAAAATAAACTAAAGGTCTTGCTTTTTCAACATTTGATACAAAGCATTTAAAAGAAATAATGTCGATACATTTTTTACCTTTCAATTTAAAAAAACTGGGAATTTCAATGATGCTAAACCCATTTTCACATTCATAGACAATTGTTTCCTAAAATGAAAAATCCACGTTTTAATGCTGAAACTTTTAAAATCCTATATTATGGTTTTGTATTTTAATATAAGAAAATGATAATTTGTCACAATAATTTTATTTTTCTGATATCAGAAAAATAAAATTATATTATACTACAAGCATTCGCAAAAGTTTTGACTAGTTATTCGAATGAAAAAACAATTGGTTACAATGAAACCAAATCAAGAGATTGTTATTCAATTATTAATAATAATTGAAGAGCATAAGTTACAAAGGGTCTAAGTGCCGATTCAAATATTTTTAATTATACATGTAGAAAAAGTCTTTTTCTGTTCCTATTACAGAATATGACCATTCTAATGTCATCTCTGTGTTTATTATCTAACAAGTTTTAGACAGATCTAACCTGATTTTCTCCGAATTAAATTATTTTTCCATTATATTTTTTGAAAACGTAGAAAAAGTATAGTCTGAAACACGTTTGGAATTGCATATTCCAAACTTGTTACAGAATATACTATTATGCTATGCCTAATGATACTGGAATGGTTTTAAGTGACAGCAAGGTAGGTTTCAGTATCATTAGGCATAGCAAATAGACTTTTTCTACATGTATAGCTCAAAATATTTGAATTGGCACCTAGACCCTTTGTATAAATACCTTTGTATAAATAATCTTCAATTATAATAATTAAAAATCGAACCTCAAAATATATTAAAGTGATTAACGCGGCTTAAAAAAGTATGTATTTGCGTGTAATAAAAAGGCACTTACTTCCATTATCTTTAAGTTGATTCTTGTCTCACACAGCTGCAAAATTGGATTTAAGATTTATAAATATATAATATTTACAACATTCGTACACAAGCTCGTGTAGACGTATACCAACTATGCGGTAATTGTTTAGAATTTAGAAATTCAACGAGTTATTGTCACTATAGTAACAATTCATTATTACTTTAACATTTTTGTTCACATATGCACTTTTTTAGAATCTAATAAAAAGTAGAATTTTGATGTCCACAAACAATATTTGTTCAAAAAGTAATTAATGCAAAAAAGCAACAGCAATAGTCAAACTTTCTGCATCTTTGCTGGGATTAACACATAATTTAACGATTTTTTTATTAATTTGTTCAATAGGAACTGTCAAGTGGATATTGCTTGGAGTTTCAAACAAATCATACAAGTTAAAGCAGTTGAATTATTTGGATATACAAAAAAAGATTGATTCTTTCTTAACCATTTGACCCCATTCAAATAGATTTTAGTGTAATTTCTAACTGATCGAAACATTCTTTTTATCTCCAAACAAACATTATTGTTTAAAAGAACCATGTTATTTGGAGGCTTAATTCTTAAGATCACTCCATTGTATTTGACTATTTTTACTACTGTCATAGTTTCATCAAATGAAGAAGGCATCTCTTTTAAAATTTGAATTATCTAATTAACTGGGATTTTTTGTTCCCTAAAAATTTTTTCATCCAGTCGATTACAAAGTTGCTCCATTGGCTTGTAACCGCTTCGCAATACTCTTCGCATTTTTCCTAGAAGATTCTCATATGGAAATGAACTGACCAAACTTAAATTACATTCAAAATTTTTCACATCATCAGCCACATGAATCAAATTATGAATATTTATTGTAAGAATACATCGGTTATAATGGACTGGAAATAAGCGAACAAATTCTCTTAAATACATTTTTGCATGTTCATTGTAATGTACTGCACGATTACTTGAACATAAAATGCGAAAAGCCACAAAAAGTAGTAAAAAATGTTTGTACATTGTCTCGCTTAAAATTGGCTTCAAAACAACTGCTCCAGAATACAGGAGGAAAAATGAAAATTGCGTTGCTTTCCAAGAAGATATTTGTGCTAAGGGTTGTGTTTTCCGTTGAAAATCACAAGGCACTTGGTTTTTTACCATCTCTAACATATAATTTAATTGATCTTTACGTGCAGCACTCAATTTTCCTTGTGCTCCTCTCACGTGGCCTATCCACAACTCGAATAATTTTTTCATTACACCAAGACAAGCCAAATGCATAAAATCAAGGCTAAACATGGAAATCATGTCCAAATTAGGCAATCTTAATAATGGAGATAATGCATTATGGTGTTCCCTGTGAATTCTGGCACGGAAAGATTCATTTGTCCTTGCAATTTCATTCATATTAAGAAAACACTCTCGATTGTTTAATCTGACACCATGCACATTGCACCTTTCACAAGCATAACGAGCTGTGTGTCCTTTGATACACTTTATGAAAGCACGAGCGGGTGTGTCTGCAATAAAGCATTTTATTCTTAATTGAAAAATAGTTCCATTTATCTCTAGAACATTAACCAACAAGTTCAGTAGCTCTTCAATAAATTTTTGAAAATAATAATTTACATCTGGTGGTTTAGAATGACCCATAAAAACAGCTACCGGAAATGGTGAATAAACGTCACTACTGTGATAAATTCTACATAGAATAGGCCAAACTGCTAAACTTCCTGACTTAAAAACTCTAGCACCATCAACACGAAAAAAAAAATCTATTACATGTTCCGGATGTAATGCAACATTAATGCACATTTTAAGTCCTTTAGCAATACCAAAGTATACAAATTGTTGTTAGTTATTGAAAGAATTTTCTATGGTATCAATTTCAAAACTATGCCCAACTTTTAAAAAAGTCACTGCAGTTTTAGGTAAATTGGGAAACACAGGCTTCAATATCAACAATAACTTTGTTAATTGGAAGAGAGGAATATTTCCATCTCTGGCCCACTCTCTCAGATCATCTGCAATGTCTACTTTGGCATTTTCCACTTCTTCAGGGGGGACTTCATTGTTTACGTATTTATCAATGGAACTGTTGTCATAATTGGATTCGGTTTCTTCTTCACTAAAACTGCTATTGCCTTCTTCATCTTCACTGTACATGTGTTGGTCTTGATTTTTAATCTCGTCATTTCCTTTTTCAAAGTCAACCTTTTGCAATTCTTTATCTATGCCACCGTCTTCATGGCCATATTCTAAAATTATATTTTTATTATGTACCTACCTACATTTTAACTACCTTAAACCTTGAAAACATTGAGAAAGCTATAGTAGTACCTACAAGTTTTTAAGAAAAATATTTGTTTAATAAAAAATATATGTATAATAAAAAAAATATATCTATAATAAAAAAATATACCTACATACCATTAACATTTTCATTAATTTTTTTTTCTGGGTTTTCCAACTTTCGTTCTACCAGATTTTCTTTTTTTGCTGTAAACACGTTGGTAAGCATATGTACAAAATCTATAAGATTTCGGAAACCTAAGGTTTACTTGGGTGGTAATCAAGTAACTTAAAACTGGTTATAACAATAGATTTTTTGACCCGGGTAAGTAACTTGGTAAGTTTCCGAAAACGCCTTATGTATAAGGCGTTTAAGCGCCTTTATATATATAATTATATCTATACTATTATAGTAATAATACTATATTACTATACTATAATTTATAAGTTTTATAAGTTTAATAAAAATTAATAAAAATGTATATTTTTTTTTACTTTTTTGAATAATTTCATTTAACATCTCAAGAACTTGCACCCCTAAAGCGATGTCTACTTAGGCGAAATTGTTGGTTACGGCGTTTTCATTAAGCACGGCAGTATTATAGTAATAATACTATATTACTATACTATAATTTATAAGTTTAATAAAAATTAATAAAAATGTATATTTTGTTCTTACTTTTTTGAATAATTTCATTTAACATCTCAAGAGCTTGCACCCCTAAAGCTCGTGATTCGCGCTGAATTAGACGATGTCTACTTACGCGAATTCTATTTCTTTTTTTTTGATAATCCATATATGGATATATCTATATGGTTTAATTTAATTTCGCAAATACAAAACAATTTTAAATTTTAAAATGTTAAGGTTAACATTGAAGTTTTTGTAATTATGATAATTTTGTTAAGATGTCGCTTTAAAGTGCGTTTAAATATTCAATAACTCGGCTAAAATGAATAAAAAAAATTAAAAAATCACATTGGCCCATTATCCAGTCACATATGTCGTGCCGTTATTTTTTAAATACTTTTAATCGACCAATATATATATATATAAATATCGGCCATCTTTCGTCGGCCCAACATGTTACCGACATCTTTTACCGAGATGTCAGAACGCCGCAAACGGGCCGACCTTGACCCGTGGAGTTCCGTTTTCTAACCGAGAAATTTTTTTGACCGTATTAAGTTTGACTTTTTAAATTTTACGAAATTAAATCATTGTTATAATCTTACTATAATTAATTAATTAAATTTTACGAAATTAAATCATTGTTATAATCTTACTATAATTAATTAATTATAGTAAGATTATAACAATGATTTAATTTCGTAAAATTTAAAAAGTCAAACTTAAGTTATCAATGTAAAATCGTTGTTGTGCTTTAAAAACTAAACCTAAAACTTTTCTAAACTAAATAATAATTTATTATTAATAAAGCATTATATGGATAATCCGGCTAGGTGCTGCCCTCGGTGGTGTAGTAGTCAGCACTATAAGCCGAGAGGTCGTGGGTGTTTATTTGTGTTTGTCAGTGTGTACCAATCTAATTAGGCCACATTTTTGGCTCTTTTAAAATAAATGAGTAAAATAATAATAACATTGCCTTTATTTAAATGGGCAAAGTTTAGCAACAGCTACACATGGTAAATTCAACACTTTTAGTTTTATAAAATCTCGGTATTTAATATTATCTATAATGCGTATGGCTTTACGTTGAATTTTAAAAACACGAGAGGCCGTGACTGCATGTCCCCATACTAGAATGGC